CACCAAATAATGTTCTTTTTAGCAACGTCATATGACCCCTTTAATAGAATGGGATTAAATACATAAAGGATATTTGTGTTGTTTAACATTTAATTATTGCAGGTTTGCGTCATATTCTGAGTTGCATTATTTTTATTCATTTTGAGGAATACTGAATCTGAGTGTTTTTTTTTTGTGAGTGGGATGAATTAATGCATATTCATATTTATTTTAGAACTACAGTAACATCTTCTGATTTCTGTCACCATGGCAACACCAGAGCTGTCAATCAATAAATTGGAAACAAAGTAACTTGCGTTACTTATTTGAAAAAGTAACTCCGATATTCTCTTGTAAATTAAAAAGTAATGTTACTTTACTAGTTACTTGAAAAAAGTAATCTGATTACGTAACTCACGTTACTTGTAATGCGTTACCCCCAACACTGGTTCTAAAGGAATAATTCAGACGGAAATGATCATTTATTCGCCCTCATGCTTCTTCAAACCCGAATGACTTTCATTCTTCAGTGAAACAGAAAAAGAGACGTTTAGCAGAATGTTGACGCAGCTCTGTGCCGCAGAGGACAGAAGTGAATGCATGTGCTGGATCTGTTGTAGGTGGGTGGCGTTCGAGGGCCCCGGGCTCTCGGGTCAGCAGTATGTTCTGGAGAAGGGTCTGTACGGAAGCCCGGAGGACTGGGGCTCATCCCACAGCCGGATCTGCTCGGCCGTCCCTGTGATTCTGGTGAGAGTCATGATCTGGCGGCTGCTTGGAGAATATGAGGGACTGATGATGTTTGATGAACAGAGACACATTTATTTTCTGTAGCTGGAGAAAATAGAGGCGCTTATGATTTTATAACTGGAAAATAATGACCCAAGATCAGTTATTTATGTGTATATTTAATATTTCAGGAAAATCTGGAAAACTCCTGCTACTTCCAGGTTTGTAAAAGAAATTATGATGATTATTTATTTATTATCCCTATTATTATTAGGATTCTTCTACTTCTTTCTTCTTTTTGTTCAGATTGTTCTAATTAATAGTTTATTTTGAAAACCATTGTTATTATTTCATTTTCCTATTATTGTTTTATATATATATAATTTTGTTCTCATTATCCTAATTTCAGAAGGTCAGGGTGAATGTTAATATGGAGTGTAATTTTGTTAATGTAATAGATTGAGCTGTTCTCTGAGTCTGGATTCGGTGGAACATCTGTCCTGCTGCAGGACTCGTTACCCACAATCCCCGGCGGCTTCAGTGTGCTCTCCTGCAGGGTTCATGCGGGCAGGTTCGTTAGCTCTGTCCTGTCATCAGTCTCTGTCTGTGTGTGTGTTTCTGCTCTCACATAAGTGTGTGTGTGTGTGTGTTTCTGCCCTCATATGAGTGTGTGTTTCTGCCCTCATATGAGTGTGTGTTTCTGCCCTCATATGAGTGTGTGTTTCTGCCCTCATATGAGTGTGTGTTTCTGCCCTCATATGAGTGTGTGTTTCTGCCCTCATATGAGTGTGTGTTTCTGCCCTCATATGAGTGTGTGTTTCTGCCCTCATATGAGTGTGTGTTTCTGCCCTCATATGAGTGTGTGTTTCTGCCCTCATATGAGTGTGTGTTTCTGCCCTCATATGAGTGTGTGTTTCTGCCCTCATATGAGTGTGTGTTTCTGCCCTCATATGAGTGTGTGTTTCTGCCCTCATATGAGTGTGTGTTTCTGCCCTCATATGAGTGTGTGTGTGTGTGTCTGTGTGTGTGTGTGTTTTTCTGCTCTCACATGAGTGTGTGTGTGCAGCTGGCTGGCGTTCAGCGGCGAGTGTTTCTCGGATCGTCAGTGTGTTCTGGAGGAGGGTTTTTATCCTGATCTGAGGATGATGGGTTTCTCTGAGCCGGACGCATCAGTGCTGTCGCTGCAGCCCACGGGACTCGTGAGTCTGTTTCAGACGCATCACATGTGACTCTGCTTCATCAGAGGTGTGTGTTGTGTTCTGACAGCTGAGTGTGTGTGTTTGTGTGTGTGTGTGTGTGTGTCAGGAGCTCTCGGTGCCGGCGCTGCTGCTGTTTGAGCGCTCTGGACTCAGAGGACGGAGGACGCCGCTGAAGACGGCTTCGGTGAATCTGCAGCTCACACACAGCTGCTCCAGAGTCTCATCTGTGCTGGTGCTCGGCGGCATGTGAGGAACACACACACACATTCATTCATTCGTTCGTTCGTTCATTCATTCAGTCATTTGTTCATTTGTTCGTTCATTCAGTCATTCATTAATTCATTCGTTCATTCAGTCATTTGTACATTCAGTCATTCATTCATTCATTAATTTGTTCGTTCATTCATTCAGTCATTTGTTCGTTCAGTCATTCATTCATTCATTCATTCATTCATTCATTCAGTCATTCATTCAGTCATTTGTTCGTTCAGTCATTCATTCATTCATTCATTCAGTCATTTGTACATTCAGTCATTCATTCATTTGTTCGTTCATTCGTTCAGTCATTCATTCATTCATTCATTCATTCAGTCATTTGTTCGTTCAGTCATTCATTCATTCATTCATTCAGTCATTTGTTCGTTCAGTCATTCATTCATTCATTCATTCAGTCATTTGTTCGTTCAGTCATTCATTCATTCATTCATTCATTCGTTCATTCAATCATTCATTCATTCATTTATTTAGTCATTCGTTCATGCGTTCGTTCGTTCAGTCATTCATTCATTCGCTCACTCGTTCGTTCATTCATTCATTCATTCGTTCGTTCATTCATTCATTTGTTCATTCATTCATTCGTTCGTTCATTTTTATTTGTTAGTTTGTTAATTCGTTCATTCATTTGTTGATTCATTCATTCATTAATTCATTCATTTATTTAGTCATTCAGTCATTCATTCATTCATTCATTCATTCAGTCATTTGTTCGTTCAGTCATTCATTCATTCATTCATTCAGTCATTTGTTCGTTCAGTCATTCATTCAGTCATCTGTTCGTTCAGTCATTCATTCATTCATTCGTTCATTCAATCATTCATTCATTCATTCATTTATTTAGTCATTCGTTCATGTGTTCGATCGTTCAGTCATTCATTCATTCGCTCACTCGCTCGTTCATTCATTCATTCATTCATTCGTTCGTTCGTTCATTCATTCATTTATTCGTTCGTTCATTTTTATTTGTTAGTTTGTTAATTCGTTCATTCATTTGTTGATTCATTCATTCATTAATTCATTCATTTATTTAGTCATTCCTTCATTCATTCATTCATTCATTCATTCACACGATACTGCAGCATTCATTCATGCTTCACATCAGCATTTAGTTCTAGAGTTTGACTATGTGCTTTTGTCATTATTATTGCTTTATTTCTTTATATATTCTTAAATACTTAGCTTTAATTGGTTTTTGTCATCAGTTTTAGGTTTAATAATTTTTTTAGCTTTTAGCTTTAGTCATTCGCCAATATTTTATTTTATTTGAGATGTATTTCTGTTAGTAAAAATAATTTTTGATAGTTGTAGTTTTAGCCCACAATAACAAAAACTCACCTACCAGTATTATCCGTGTATAACTGAGATTCTGTTATAGTTATTGAGATACTATCATAGTTTTTATTAATATTTTCAATTAGCTTTTATTTTTATACTTTCATTTTAATTTTAAGTTAATGTTTTAGTAATTTTGTTGTGTTTTATTTGTTTGGTGTTTTGTAAAATATATCTGTGTAGTTTTTATTAGTTTTTATTTAACTTTTAGTTGTTTTAGTAAGTTAAAGGGCACCTATTATGCAAAATCCACTTTTACATGGTGTTTGAACTGAAATGTGTGTTGGCAGTGTGTGAACACAACCACTCTACAATGATAAAAATTCACCCACTCCTCATTTTTTAATCCCCATTAAACCAAATCAGTCTCACTAGGCCTGCCGTTTTGATTCTCTATGCATTGTGACATCACACTGCATAGGCCCCGCCCACAGCCGCTGACTGACAGCCCTGCATTGCTATAGTTCCCGTCCTCAGCGGTTGTACGCTGTTCTCCATTTTCTCCGCGCTCGGGTCGCTGTAATGTCAACAATGTCTCGCAAGCAATCCCGATGCTCTGTGTTTGGATGTAAGCAGCGTTTAGTTGATTCTGATAAACGCTCATAGTCACAGTTGTAAACATGACGGCTTTCTTCTTCCATGAGGTGAGGTGGTTTGGCTTCACGGCAACTTTGTTTCCAGGCAGAACGTTAAAGGGGACATCGGATGCAAAATCCACTTTTACATGGTGTTTGAACTGAAATGTGTGTTGGCAGTGTGTGAACACAACCACTCTACAATGATAAAAATTCACCCACTCCTCATTTTTTAATCCCCATTAAACCAAATCAGTCTCACTAGGCCTGCCGTTTTGATTCTCTATGCATTGTGACATCACATTGCATAGGCCCCGCCCACAGCCGCTGACTGACAGCCCTGCATTGCTATAGTTCCCGCCCTCAGCGGTTGTACGCTGTTCTCCATTTTCTCCGCGCTCGGGTCTCTGTAATGTCAACAATGTCTCGCAAGCAATCCCGATGCTCTGTGTTTGGATGTAAGACTAAAACATAAGAGTCTTCATTTTCTCCCAATATCTGAGCTGCTGAGGACGCAGGGGATTACTCATCTCTGCTCATGTGCTGCTCATGTTTACTGGTCTCCATGAACACAGTGATTCAGTGTTTATATTCGGCGGATCTGCAGGAAACGAGTCTCAGTTTCTGAGTATGTGAGAGTGGAAAAACTTCAGTGCTGCGTCAGATTCAACAGAGTCGTGTGAAACGCTCACGTTCCTCCAAACGCCACAGAAAACCCTGAACAGAACAAGCAGTACATCCAGCACAACAAACACATGCCAACAACACTGATTTACTTGATATTTAAGAGTGCTGTGCATTTATAGGATTAGTACTGTATTGTGCATTTATCTTACTGGAAAGAATTGCATTAACACTAAGATAAATAATGTGTAATAATGTGTAAATTCTTAAATTAATTTAAAATAGTATTACTGTTATTCATGAATTATTCATTTTATTGTAGTCTAGTGAGTATTTGCTTGTTGAGACAAGCAAGAAAATTGAAGAAAAAAATTAAATAAAAATGTGTGTGTGTGTGTGTGTGTGTGTGTGTGTTGATTGACAGGTGGGTTCTGTACGAGGATCATAACTTCAGAGGCTCTCAGTTGCTGCTGAAGCCCGGCGCTGTTCCTGATTGGCCCAAACTCTCCTCCTGGCTGCGAATCGGATCGCTTCGGCCGCTCACACAGGTGAGAGGCTCCGCCCACTGCAGCTCCTGTGGCGAATCATGAGCGCTGGGGGCGGGGCTATCAGAGTGTCTAGAGGAGAGATGGATCAATATTTGCTGTGTATTTGAGTCTCACAGTGTTTGTGTTTCACTGGCACAGAAACAAGTGAATTTCCGTCTGCGGAGCAAAGAGGCGGGGCTACTGATGTCCGTCAGCGGCTCATTGGACGACATCAAATTGATGCGTATCCAGGTGAGCGAGGAAACGGGCGGAGCTGAGCAGATCTGGACCTATCAGGACGGTCAATTACAGTGCAAGGTAGTAATTGAAGTTTCAGCGACCCATTACACAACTCAGCACTTTTCTGCTTGTGTAAATTATTTATTAATTATTCAATTACTACTAAATTATTGTGTAAACTATGGTTAAATTATTTAATTAATATATTTGTATTAAAATGCATTATTCATAAACTATTAATAATATTCACTTTATTATTGTAACTTGAGAAAAATAGCAAGAAATGTAAAGAAAAAATTAAAAGCTATGTATTTGTATGTGTTTTTATATATATATATATAATTATGAAAATATAAATTTTATTTCTGTTTTTTGCTTTGTAATTGTACTGTAATTAAAAGTAATTTGTGTGTGTGTTTGTTTGTCTGTGTGTCTGTGTGTCTGTGACTCTGTGTGTCTGTGACTCTGTGTGTCTGTGTGTGTGTGTGTGTGTGTGTGTCAGTGTCTGCTGGATGTGTGTGTGGACGTGAGTTCTGGTGTCCTGATGTCCGGCAGCAGAGTCGTTCTCTCCGCTGAACCTGGAAAACCGCAGCAGCTCTGGAGCGTCACGAGCGACGGGATCATCCAGAGCCACGCCAGACCAGAGCTCGTGCTGGAGGTCAAAGGTCAGAGAGATCCATCATGTTCACATCTGATCCTCAGGATCTTTTGAGGAGCGTTTGTTTCCAGAAGCTTTACTTTCACTGTTCCTCAGCGGAGGAATGATCTTCACAAGCCTCCAGAACATCTCACATCTTCTGAGGAGCCTTTATTTCTTCAGCTCTCAATCACTGCATTATATGTTTGGAGCATTTCAATCTCATCTTATTACTGGAGATATAGAGCCACGACTGATATTTAGATCATTTTATGTCAGTATCTGCTGCACTATTATAAAGCTCTCATTGATTAACATCACAAGCATCAGAATCTCATCATAGAAATATCAGCTTCTGCACCAAAATCATATTTTTGCTCAGTTTGAGTCTCTGAATAAAACCGAGCTGTTTTTTCCTCCATATTCTCACTACATCAGACTATGAAAGCCTGACGATCAAATATAACGCATATGCAAACTAGTTTTAATAAGTCTGTTTTTTTTAATTAAGTGTTTTCTTTAAATGACTCTGAGGAACAAACGAGTGAATCCTGGAAGAGATTGAGCTGAATATAGTGGCTCATAAATCCACATGACTGATGCTAAAGTGTTATTTATCAGCAGGAGCGCAGGTTAACATGAGCCTGTAGCGCCACCTGCTGGATTCACACACAACCTGCTGATATATTCACATAAAACCAGCTCCAGTGCTCCTCATGAACACACAAACCAAGGCTAATCAACTCAACAACCAGAGAAACAACATCATTTAACATGATGACATGCTTGTGTCATATTTCACATGAAGCACTGAAAATAAGTTATATTTGGCAGAAAGAAAACAAAGCATTGACATCTTTTGCATTGACACATTTAAGCACTGCATGCAAAAAAAAGTCACTTGTAAAGTGTAATATAGTGATAAAAATCATGACAGTATTTAAAAAATTTTATAATAATAATAATAATTAAAACCCACTCCAGTTAAGTTCAGTACCAGGAAAACTTGCATGACAATCTATTAATTAAATGATTTAAAATCCACATTTAATTAACAGGGCGAATCTCATAAAGAAATGTGTGTGTAATATTCCACAGATATTATATTTTGCAGAAGAAAACAAAGCATATTTGGCGAGCCATTATTATTTATTCATTTATTTATTTATTTAGCATTGTGACATTTGTCATTTAAACATTTAATGCAAGAAAATGTAATTCTTAAACTAATATAGTGACAAAAATCATGTTTTCAAAGAAATTATTATTAAAATTATTTTAATGTATTAATAATAATAATGTTAGATTACACTTTATTTTAAGGTGTCCTTGTTACAGTGTAATTATACATTTAAGTACTGAGTAATATTAATTAACTACATATACTTACTATATGGTTAGGGTTTGACTTACTTGCATGTTTAATTAAATTGCATGTTTAACATACATAATTAATTATTGTTATAATAGTACGTACTTGTAATATGTGTAACAAGGACACCTTAAAATAAAGTGTTACCAATTGTTCATTTTTTTTTTTTTAAATAGTTATTATTTTTTTAAATATATTTTAATATTATTATTATTATTTAGAAAACAATAATTCAAAACCACTCTAAGTTTGTTTAATTACATGATGATGTATTAATTATATTATTTAAATCACATTAACGGCCTGAATCTCATTAAGGAATTCCTGCATAGTATTTCACATAAAACAAAATATTATATTTTGCAAAAAGAAGCTAAGCATATTTGTAGAGCTATTGATTGCTATTTATTTATGCCATTTTGCTTTATGTCATTTCAGCAAAAAAGAAAACTCAACTTTAATACAGTGATAGAAATAATGATCTTTTTATGATCTGGCTCTGGTTCTCTGCAGGAGGTCAGCAGTTCGACAAACACCAGATTATCGTGAATGAATTCCACCCAGACAAGCTGAATCAGCGCTGGTCTCTGGAGATCCTCTGAGCTGCGCCACAGGACCCACTGCTCTGCTGCGGAGCTGCGCCAGGGGGACCAGCGTCCTGTGAGGCAGCTGCACCAGGGGGACCATCAGCTGTGGAAATCTCATTCTCATGAGAGCCAGTGTATGGAAAATGACCGTAATCAGCTGGACGTTGTATTATTTTTATACATGAACTCTCAGATCGACAGGAAGAGCACATAATTGAACAATAATAACTGTTTTATTTTGTGTAAAGTGCATAAACGTGCCTGTGTGGACACTGATCTCAGCTGTATTAAAACACAAGGCGTTTAGAAAATGTGTTTAAAAAAATGTTTGTTGTGTTCTAATCACTGAGACGTGTGATCAGCTCTGTGCTGATTGGCCCGCGGGGATTGGCTGGCTGCTGATTGGCTGTCAGGGGATTCTGGTTGTTTTATGGTTGAGATGCTTCAGACAGAAGCCTCTTCTGCAGTCAGCACAAACCAGACCGTATTTATCTGCATTCAGAAGAGCCACGTCCAGGAGTTATGGAGTATTACAAAACCATATAATAGTGAAGCCAATTTTAAAGATACACAGTTGTTTCTCAAGAGTTCTGACTTTATTCTTGTAATTCTGAGAATTATAAATTGCTTGATAATATAAACTTGCAATTCTGAGAAAAAGAGTTGCAATCATCTTTTTTTATTTTTTTATTCCGTGGCGGGGAAAAAAATAAATCCTTGAGTTGCAAGAGAATTGGGAGGAAAAAAGTCAGAATTGCCGTTTTTTGTTTGTTTATTTTGTGGCGGAGATAAAAAAAACGAACAAAAATTATTTTAAAATCAGTTACTGGAATTTATTATTGGACTGCGCTGTAAAAAAAAAACAATTTTTTTATCTTGTCTTGTTGACTTGTGTGTGACGTAAAAAATGAAGTTGAAATTGGTTTTGAGTTATTATTTTGATGAGTTAAAGTAATGAAAAAACATGTTGTCATGCAGTGTTATTAGAGTTAATTAAATCTAAAACAATAAAAAGATGTGGAACAGAAAAATAACATTCAAAATATTAATTAAAACTATAACAGTATCTAGATAAAATATTGCTGCCATGCTCCTATCATTTTTACACTGCACATATATTAATTATAATGTATTAAAGGGATAGTTCACCCAAAAATGAAAATTCTGTCATGAATTACTCACTCTCATGTCGTTCCAAACCTCTAAGAAGACAATAATAACGACTTTATTCAACTATTCGTCTCCTCCGCGCCGTTTTGGAGAGTATCACATACGTAAACAACGCATGTACGCGGATACGCTGTTTACGTTTAGATCAAAGCGTAAACAACGCAAACGTAAACAGCGTATCTGCGTACGGTGCTGCTGACAGAACAGTATGTGATTCTCTCTAAAACGGCTCTATAGGGTGACGTGGAGGAATAAATAAATTGTTGAATAAAGTCGTTATTATTGTTTCCTTTGCGCTCAAAAAGTATTCTTGTAGCTTTGTAAACTTACGGTTGAACCACTGATGTCACATGGATTATTTTAACATGTCCTTGCTGTTTCTGAGCCTTGATCATGTTAGTATCCTTGCTGTCTATGGGAGCGTCAGAGAGCTCTCGGAATTCATCAGAAATATCTTAATTTGTGTTCCGAAGATGAACGGAGGTCTTAAGGTGTGTGTGTGTGTGTGTGTGTGTGTGTGTGAGAGAGTGTGTCTGTCTCTGTCTGTCTCTGTGTGTGTGTGTGCGCGTGTGTGTGTGTGTGTGTTTGTGCACTGGTGTTCCGAGGGGTCACACAGAATGCGGTTTTGCGTTAAGAAACGCGAGCAGTGTAATGTAAAAACACATGAGCTGCGTCCCAAATGACGCACTTATGCACTATGTACTCAACCATGTATAGTATGGCTAAGGTTATAAAATAAGGTTATTTTGTCATTCATAATCGGAGTCTGATAGCCCCTCCCCCTTGGCTACGTAATTAAAGCTGCGACAGTTGAGTTCATGAAGTGTCCAACATTCCACACTTCATTTTTTCGGTTATTTAAGTGCATCATCCGGGTATTTAAAGTGCACTTGTTCTTTTTGGAATTTTCAGTGTGAACGCACTACTCGCACTAGCTATACTACAGAACGCCACAGACTATGGTTATATGCACCTGTGGTTTCAAAAACTTATTTTAACTTACCGGTATATAGCCTACTTTATTTGTCAGAGAAACAAGTGCGCAACCATCTTCCGAATTCTGTCTTTGACCTTCTGTTTTGCGGTAGCTCTATCCACAAAGAGCAAGCGCGGCCATCTGTAAAATTTGATGTGTCTAGCTTCCGGTCTCATCCACATATTTTTTAGCTGTACAAAACCGCTGGTTTTGCTGCTTGATATTGCAAACTGGTGAGTCTTACCACATTTTTCTAATCTTAATTATGAACACACTGGTTTGTAGTGCAAACAGTATTAGCGTTTACTGCACGTCGTTATTCTTCTGGTTATTTCCCTACAGCGGCTAATGAACCAGAAGTCTCGCCCATTCATAGAAAACTTATTGTAGAGTTAAGGAAAGTTATCATGTGCATTGTAATGTTGGAAGCAGATGTCATAACAAATGTTAGTAGACTGGGAGGATTTTGATTTCTCTCACATCAAAGTCCAGCCACATATTAGTTTAGAGCTGTTTAAACGCTGCTTGATCTGTGCAGATTTCTCTCCTGATTCAGACCAGAACACTGACTCACTGGAGGAAGCGTTATTATGGATTATAGACTCGTGTTTTAGTTAAAAACGTCTTAATGCTGGATTTGTCTCAGATTTTGTCTTCTCCAGATGTGAACTGATGGACTGGAGTGCTGTGGATTACTTGTGGATTATTGTGATGTTGTTATCAGCTCTCGTTCTGACGGCACCCATTCACTTGCAGTGAGACACTGATGCAATGCTACATTTCTCCAAATCTGATGAAGAAACAAACTCGCCCACATCTCGGATGACCTGAGGGTGAACACATTTTTTAGCAAATTTTCATTTTTGGCTGAACTGTTGCTTTAGAATACAGTAAAATGGCCAAGCGAGCACAAAGAGAACAGAAGCCGCTGATGATTGAGAGGCCATCGCACACACACAATGACCGAGGGAGCTGATTAAACCTTGTGTCCAAGAAAATCAGGACAGAGCAGAACAAACAGACGAACAGATTCAACCTCCCATCCACATGAGAATCAGATGAGATGAAGAAACGCTCTGCATGCTTTCTGGTTTTAGTGTGGCGTTCACACCTGATATAATGCAGGAATAGAGTTTAAGACAGACGCAGACGCTGAGATGAAGCTGTCAGCTGCTCACAGACACAGACGATGTAATGAGCGCTCAGTAATTAAACTCAAATCTTACATAAGAAACTCAGCGCCAGCATTCAGAACAGAACACAGAGACCGCCATCTGCTCTGAGCTGATTCACCACAGCTATTTATCCTTGCAGAGATATCAAAAAATAAAAGGTCTGTTTTTATCTTTAATAACACAAATATATTACAACAATCAGTTCTTAAAGTAATGAATGCAGTGTGTCTTTAATGATAAACGCATTTTTTAAACGCTTTATTTCAACCGAAGTCGCATAAGACCCGCCCTCTTCTGCTGGCCTCTGAGAATCAGCCAATGAAACGCAGCGTCTGTTTTCAATCAGCCAATCAGATGAACATGCATCTACTTATTAATTCAGTATCCAAGGAATCCTGTTTCTGCCGGCGGAATAAAACGTATAAAAAAGTCATTGCGAGTTTTTATCACACAATTCTGACTTTTTGCGAGATATAAACGTAGTAATTGTACATAAACTCACAATTGTGAGAAAAAAGTCTCAATTACCTGTTTTATTTTTTATTCCGTGACAGAAACAAGAAGAAAACAAGAATTGTGAGATGTAAGCTCAGAATCAGGGTTGATTAAAATTAATAAAAACACTTTTGTTACTTGAAATAAATATGAACAGAAACAGAACAAAATATAAAAACCTTAAACTTTTTTTTTTCAGTTAGTTTGCAACGCAACATTTCATCAGTTTTCACTGATGTACAAAAATAACAAAAACATAAATATGCTAAAAAATTAATAACTAAGAAAAATGAAAAAAACAAAATGATTTAAATGTTAACTATGAAAGCAGAAGATATGAAAATAAAATCTAATTCAAAATAGTAACAGAAGCAATATTTCTAATTGCAAAATTACAAGAAACTCTGAATAGATTTGATCATTTTAAGATGCAAAGACTATTGTATAAGTTTTAAAATATGTATTTATTAATTAATTGTTTTATTACCAAAGCAGAATCTGTAAGAATAAATAATGCAATGATTTAAGAGTTAAATAGAAATGCTATGATTTTGCACCACATGGTATTCATTAAAGTAAAAGCATGTAAACATCATAATGAATGAATAGCATGGAATATATCAAGGTACAATACATACAATACATTCATTTCTGTTCCACACGCCATGCAGCTCATATAATATAACGCATTCGATTCACTGTTTAATAAAGCAGCTCTTTCACAGAAGATAAACATGAACGAACATCCAGCAACCGAGAAACAATCAGACAATAAATATTACACTCTGACAGCAATATTAACACTGGTGCACACAGATAATTCCTCTTTGCTGACCAATTGTCATTTTTAAGGCACAAGAGGAGCATAAAATCCAAAGAAACAACCATTTACAGAACATTTATGCTGAAATACTTGCAGAAATCCGTGGCTTTATGGTGTACAAATGTCCAAACGTTCTTAAATCGAGAAGCATTTCATTGAGAAGCAAAACGATTGAAGATATTACGGTTTCTTTGTTTTCTGAAAAACTGATCAAAGTTGTGTTTAAGCTTCAATTTTCTCTCAGTTGTAAGATATACTGTAAGCACCGAGATCTGAGAAACACAAGAAGAGGAATTGTGAGTTACAAGGAAAAAGTCAGAATTGTGAATGCAAGTATATCGTCTTTATTTTATATTCTGTGGCAACTCAGAAATATACAAAACAAAACAAAACAATAAAGTCATTTTTGACTGCAAACACAAGTGTGTGGATTTGGAAAAATCCCCAAAAAGTACAAAAAATGTTAAAAAAAAAAAAATTTGGGGGGAGGTTATAATGACCTTGTATATTAGCTGAAATCTACAAAACAAAACAAAACAATAAAGTCATTTTTGACTGCAAACACAAGTGTGTGGATTTGGAAAAATCCCCAAAAAGTACAAAAAATGTAAATAAATAAATAAATAAATAAATTTTCTCAGCTTTTGTCTTCTCCGGATGTGAACTGATGGACTGGAGTGCTGTGG